ATGGGGATTACATTTTGTAGAACATTTAAAAGTGAATTTGATGTGTTTTCTTGTTTCCTTCCTTGTTTGGATGGCTCATTCTTCTTTAAGTCCTGCTAAGTCAGCTACTTTCTATTTTGCTAAGTTTGGTTTGGTATGAACAAGTTAGTCCTTGTGTGATTGACCTATTGATTTTTCCACCATTAATATTTTTGTGATTGTTGAATCATTGATGGTGCCATTTTCTATTAAGTAAGAAATTCCATACCTTATGTATTCACTAAAGATTTCTGAAGTATTAGTTCTATGGATATATTTCTTTTCCTGCTTCTTTAAAGTTCTCTGTCAAGCTGAAATTTTTTCTTTTGTTATCTTGGGTAGATAAATTAATTAGAAAAGGGCTAGGGGAAGTTTCTAACTTTGACCTTTTTTGTTTTGGTAGTTTTAGGATTGGGCAGGCAAAGCTTGTCTCAGTATACTTACCTGTAGCTGTTGCCTGTTATAGCATAAGATAAAGTGATAATAGAACCAAATACATAAGAAAATACCTCGTGGGAACTTTTTATTGAGTATGTTATTTTTTGGTGGATACAACTTACTAGCATGGACTATATGATTGAACCTAGAGCAGAGAGCAATACCTTAACATTACTCAGTTATTCTTCATTCTGTTAGTGCCTCTGTCATTGGGATAGTGCTTATACCTGAAAACAATGAAGGGCAAAATCCTTGCCTTATCATTGAGCTTATAATCTAGAGGGGGAGCTAGATATTAATAGAATATAGTAATCAAATAAGTACATAAATGTACCCATAATTATGAACTTGAGGTGCATGCTATAGTGGAAAGAAGCATAGGGCTACAGGAGCATATGGTAGAGGGACCTGCCCTAGTTGAGGAAGTCTTCCTGAAGAAAGGTCATTTGAACTGAGGTCTGAAAGTTGAGTAAGAGTCATTCCAGGTAGAACAAATAGTTTGGCAAAAGGGAGGATAGCACCTATGAACAATTTAAAGAAGGCCACGGGGCTAAAGAAGTATAAAGGGCTGAGATCATGCAAAGCCTTGTAAGGCACCGACAAAATTATTTTGAAAAGATCACACTGGCTATAATGTGGAAAATGGAGTAAATGTGGGCATACTAGTTAGGAGGATATTGCTGTGGTCTGGGTGTGAATTGTTGGTCACTTGGATTAGGAAAAATAGAGTTGGAGAGAATGGGGTAGAATTAAAAACTATTTAGTGGATAAAATTGAAAGGTCTTGAAGAATAGATAGCCATGTGGGGAAGGCAGAAATGAGTAAAAAGGAGGTGTCAAGGATGAGTCCTAGGATTCTGGTTGGCAAAATTGGGAAATCATGATGGCAAATCCTAAGTGGATGGCTTGTTCATTCATTACACTTCCTCCACTCCTTTCTTTTTATTGTTCTTCCTTATTTTAAGTTCTATTTTCTTAAGATAACCCTTCACTCTACTTGACTGTGTACTTTCCTAATGCTCTCGGTAAAGAATTGTGGTTTGTTTACATATCTATCTCCTATACCAGATTGTGAGCCACTTGTTTCCCAGTAGCTGGCACTGATTAGTTGCTCAATGTGCATTTGTTGAAATGAATCAGTTTGTTGTTACTGCAAGTCTGTATAACTTACAAATTTTTATTATAAATTATAGCATACAAATACATACATAGCTTATATATTTATAGTTAAAGATACAGTAATGAGAATAAACACCGTGGAACCACCACCCAGGCCAAGAAATAGAGCATTGTCATACCCCCAAGCCTCTTTTATGCACCTTCTTTCCCCAAAGGGTATCCATTCTCCTGACTTTTATATTTATCATTATTTTGCTTTTTTTAAAAAATATATTTACTACCTACATCTTGTTTGGTGTTGCCTGCCTTCAAACTTTATATAAATGGAATACTACTGTAATCTTTTGTGGTTTGCTTATTTAATGTTATGTTTTTGACATTCAGCCTAACTACTGTGTGGGTAGCTTTGATCATTTAATTTCAATGTTTATGGTATTCCACTGGAGGAATATACTGCAGCTGATTTATTTCCATTCTACTCTTGGTGTCCTTTTGGTTTGTTTCTTGTGTTCTCTTTATAAATAATGCTGCTTCATACTTTTTTATACATGGTTCCTAGTGTAGATGGACAAGAGTTTTTCTATAGCAGGGGTTGGGAAACTAAGGTATGTAGGCTGATAGAATAAAGTTTTGTTGTAACTCAGCCATGCTTATTTGTTTATAGCTATTTTTGCACTACAGTGTTAAAGTTGAGTAATTGTGACAGAGATGATACAACTTGCAAGCCTGAAATATTTGCTACTGCACCCTTTACAGAAAAAGTTTGCAGACTTCTCTAGAGTATGTACAAGGAGTAGAATTGCTGCACTACAGAGAATGTGATGGTTAATGTTATATATAGCTTTTTAAAAATTGCTTCTCTTTGAAAAAATATTTTCTTTCTTTCAGAACAGGCATTTATTTTATTCTTTCTTAATGAGATTATAGAATTTGGTCATTATTGCAAAGAACAAGATCTTATTCTTACCTTCAGTAAGTCTTACTGGAAGAATTCAGTAGAATCCTAAATGGATAACTCTGTTTTGTCTTTGCTAGCTTCATGCTTTTCATCAGTCCCTCCGAGACCTCAGCAGTGAACAAGTTCGCCTTGGAGATGATTTTAACAGGGAACTTTCCAGAAGAAGCCGGTAAAAGCAGAATTTGGTTTTCATGGGAGGCATAAATTGTTTAGGAGAATAAATT